GAGAGCTGAGGGACAGCGCCGAGGCCCAGAGTTCAAGCCCCACGGCCGACCAAAAAAAAAATAAAAATAAAATTATCTTCAGTAGATGCTTAATTAATTATTTTGTAGCTTTTAAGGTAATTTTTTTTTGGGTCCAGTCGTGGGGCTCGAACTCTGGGCCTGGGTGGTGTCCCTCAGCTCTTCAGCTCAAGGCTAGTGCTCTACCACTTGAGCCGTAGCGCCACTTCTGGCTTTTTTCTTTTTGCTTGTGTGGTGCTAACGAATTGAACCCAGGGCCTCAGGCATGCAAGGCAAGTGCTCTACCACTGAGCCACCTTCCCAGCCCAGCTTTTAAGGTTACTAATTTCTTTTTTTGGGGGGGGGTCCGGTCATGGGGCCTGATCTCTGGGCCTGGGCACTGTCCCTCAGCTCTTCAGCTCAAGGCTAGCGCTCTACCACTTGAGCCTCAGCACCACTTCCGGCTTTTTTCTTTTTGCTTATGTTTTTTGCTTATGTGGTGCTGAGGAATCGAACCCAGGGCCTCAGGCATGCAAGGCAAGCACTCTACCACTGAGCCACCTTCCCAGCCCCATAAGGTTTTTAATTTCTTATAAGTAATGATTTGTGTTGGTCTTTATTCAGATGCAAACATTTTCTTACAATCATTATGATTTCTTCTTTTTCTTCTAGATAATTCCCAGCTGTGTTCCCAGTTCTTAACTATGAGAGTTTTTGTTGTAATTTTTGCTATGTTTAAGTAGTTGTACAGAGGGCTTACAATTCCATAGGTGAAGTTATGAGTACAATGCTTCTTGGACAGTGTCACTTCTTCTTTTGTATGGGGGAGTTATTGTTATATCAAAATTTTCCACATCATTATTGAATTTAGAAAGTAGGAAATCAGTCCAGATTTCCCTCTGGACAAATGGATCAAAAATGTGGTATATATGCACAATAGAATTTTTCTCATCCATTGGAAACAATGATACTGTACCATTTGTAAAGAAATGGAAAGACCTGGAAAAAATTATGTTAAATGAAGTAAGTCAGGTAGGACTTACTTTATCGCATGATAAAGTATGCATGATTTCCCTTGTATGTAGAAGCTAGATTTAGCTTATAAACTTGTAAGTAAATATGTTGGGTGGTATGTCAGTGTATACAAATTGAAATATGACAGACTCAAGGGAGAACTGAAAGAGTGCAATCTCTTAAAAAGGCAAAATCAAAGTTCAACAAAATAAACACCAGGAAACAGGTACTTGAAAGAGATGGGGTAGGGTCATGGGGAAAGGGGCAAATGAATGAAGAGAAGAAGAAGAAGGGGAGAATCAAATCAAAGAATTTAATGTATACCCTACAAAATTAATAAGAGTGAGAGAAAGGGTTTGTAGGGGAGAGATGGGTGAGAATGTTGAAAGGGGTGACAATGATCAAGAGAAATTATATTCACAACTGCTTTGTTAGATGGAAACTCCTTTGTATAACTACTTAAAGAGAAATAAAAAGTTAAAAGATAGGTGTTTAATCAATTACTGCAAATGCATAAAAATAAAAATAGGTTTTTCTGTTTCTCATTATTGTTTTGTTAGTTTTTATTTGGGTACTTTGTAACTTTTTCATTATTGGAAAAATGTGGAATTTTTATATTACTATAGTAAATGAAAGTTGTCCTTTGGAGAACATGAATCTTCATGTCTTGAATTCTATTTGTTTGATAGCAATAGATTTATACTAGTATTATATTGATGTTATTGTTCATCTCTTATTTCTTCTGTATTTTTTTTTTTTGGGTCCAGTTGTGGGGCCTGAACTCTGGGCCTGGACGCTGTCCCTCAGCTCTTCAGCTGAAGGCTAGTACTCTACCACTTGAGCCACAGCGCCACTTCCGGCTTTTTTCTTTTTACTTATGTGGTGCTGAGGAATCGAACCCAGGGCCTCATGCATGCAAGGCAAGCGCTCTCCCACTGAGCCACCTTCCCAGCCCTTTCTTCTGTATTTTTGTATTTTGAGTAAACATTTTATTTGTTGTGGCAAACAGAAAATGGACAAATTTATCAATTATGAATTTTCTCACAGTGTTCTTTCCTACATTATCAACATTCAGATAACAAAACAGAATATAGTAAACATGCTAGAATCTTCCTTCCATGCCCATCTCAGAGACAGCATTTATAATTACTAATGTATGTACAAAAATAGCAGAAATGCTATGGAAATGTCTTACAGAAATTGAAAAGGATATGATGAGAGAGAAACAATTTCAAATGGATGATTTCAAAGTAATATTTAGTTGTATTAAAATAATATATTTCATGAATGAAAACTATGTTGCCTAGTTGTATGACTTTCATGTAGAGGAAGATTTTGTAGTTGTAACTGCAGATAAAGGAGTTAGAAAGAGGAAGACATATTGATTTGATAATATATAAAATAATAATACAAAATACTATCCATACAGATTAATAGGGACATCAAGACAAAGGCAAAGGTATAATGATATCTTTAATATAAAATGCCTATATAATTAAATAAAAAAATCCAAATTTGATAATGGACTAATGACAAGAACACATTGTAAAAGAATGCACACACAAGTGAACAGACATAGAAAAATGTTCCTTTTGCTAATCAAAGAAGAGCAAAATATGACATTTTGGCTGTCCTGTTATTATGACTAAGGAGAAAATGTGAGCATCAAAACCTTAGAGGATGTTGACCAAAGGCACCCTCATATGTGAATTTTGGCAAAATGAATAAAAGCCCACCCTGCAATGTTTTACTTGAGATCAAGCTTTTCTGCTCAAGTTGAGTGCTCTACCACTTGACCCATAACTTAATTCTTTTTTTTGTATATGCTTAACTAGAGATAAGAGTCTTACAGACTTTCCTGACTGGGCTAACTTCAAACTGCAATCCTCAGATCTTAGCCACCTGAGTAGCTAGGATTACAGGTGTGAGCTACCAGTGCCTTCTTGAACAACATTTTTGTATGTGAAAAGGGTGTTCCAGTAGTCAGAAGTAATAGGACCAAGTCATGGCTTATTCACTAACTTATCTAGGTGATCTTAGGCAAATCCCTTAATTTCTGTAGGGTTTTTTCTTTTCTAAAATATAAAAGAGTATGTCGGAATGACAAACATGTTATAGTTGTGTAACCAAGGCTCACCCTGTACCCATTATCAGTACTGTCAATGAATACATTTCCTCTCCAAACCTAAAGCTTCAGAATTTTTTTAGGTTCATAAGCTTCTATCAATTGTTTAAAGCTAGCCTCCTTGGAGTAAACCTCTAAGGTTCCTACTGAATATTAAAAACTTTAGAGCAAAAAATAAAAATGAAGTGAATCTTTAAAAAAATAAAGGGTTGGAGTATGGCAGTTGGAGAAACATTTTGAGACATTGTCTTTTTAGTAAAGAATAAATTATTATTCCTTTGTTCTATTATTGATATTTTAGTAAGAGTCTAAGATTTATTATTTCAGCAGAAATGGACAGGAAACTAGACTTTTGTTGCCTTTACTTTGTTTTTTTTTTTAATTTTTTATTTTGTTGGTTGTGGGGCTTGAACTCTGGGCCTGGGCGCTGTCCCTGTGCTCTTCATCTCAAGGCGAGCACTCTACCACTTGAGCCACAGCACTATTTCTTATTTTTTAGTGGGTTATTGGAGATAAGAGTCTCACAGACTTTTCTGCCCAGGCTGGCTTTGAACCGTGATCCTCAGATCTCAGCCTCCTGAATAGCTAGGATTACAGGTGTGAGCTACCGGTGCCCGGCTTGTTGGCATTACTTTTTTTTTTAAATTTATTTATTTGTTTTTTATTTGTGAACATACTGTACAGAGGGGTTACAATTACATGGGCAGGATAATGCGTACATTTCTTACCAAGCATTGCAGCCTCCTCCTTTGGTTTACCCTTCACATCCCTTCCCAGCCTCCCCCCTCCCCCCCAATTGTTGGCATTACTTTTATATCAAGTTAAGTTAGATTATTTTTATAGGTGAGAGAACAATTCCATTATACATGAAGTCAGACATTTTTTTTCTCTTTGGAGCATATGCCGTAAATGCCTTTCATAGTCTTTTTTGTGCACATGTTCAAGTTTCCCTAGAGTGTGTACCAAGGACTAGAAATTTTCACTGGATCATTGATCAGTGCATTGGTTCAGATCTTCCTAGAAGAAAGTGCCAGGATATAATTAGCTGTGTTAGTTTGGGTTCACCAGAGAAAAACAGCAGCTAGGATACATGCAGACATGTAGAGAGCTTCATTATGGGGGATTGCTCACAGGATTATGGAGGATGAGAAGTCTGTCAATCTGCCGTCTGCAAATTGGAGGCCTAAAGAGCCAGTAGTATCATTCAGGCCTAAAGGCTGGAGAACACAGAGAACCAGATGTTTTAAGTCTCAGAGATTGAAAGGCTAAGAACCAGGAGTACAAATGTCTAAGGCACAAGAAAATGCTTGTTTTAGCTTAAAAGGAGAGAGTGAATTCCCTCTTTGTTTGCCTCTTTGTTCTATGTGGGCCCTCCTTGGATTACATGATATCCATCCATGTTAGGATAATCTTCATTCTGTCTTAAGATTCAAATGATAATCTCTTTTGAAACACCTTTAGAGGCACATCTAAAAATCATGTTTTATAGCTACCTGGGCATCAGTCAAATTGATGCATAAAAATTAACCCCCACAAACTGTAAAAGATTTATTGGAGACAGAGTGGGAGAAATCCTTTAGATTCAATTTGCGACCTGTGGAAGAAAATAGGGAAGGAAGAAAAATTGAGGGGAAGCATATATTATGTCTGCAATATAGTACTAAGAACGGTTTGACCAACAAGGAAGTTTTAGAATTAAAGTTGTCTATCAGAAGAGTCCCACATTTTCCTGAAATGACCTGTCTTGGTAGCTCTGTAATGCTCAGTCATTGTCCAGGACCAGGCTGTAGAAATAAGGCACAGATATGGCAGTTCCTAGTCAAGTAGGCAATTAAACTCTTGAGATAGCAAAACTATCCATAGTCTACTGTGTTCTTCTTACCAGCTTTCTCAAGGCCTGTTTCATGTCCTTGTTTCTGAGGCTGTAGATGAAAGGATTCAACATGGGGGTAACCACTGTATAGATGACAGTGACCACCCGGTCCTTTGTCACCGAATAGGTGGATGAGGGGCGAATATACACGGATATTATGGTTCCATAGAACAGAGCTACAACTGTGAGATGAGACCCACAGGTGGAGAAGACCTTGTACCTGCCTCCCCCCGAAGGAACCCTCAGAACAGCACGGGCGATATAGACATAGGAGACAATAATGAAGATGAAGGGGCTCATGATCACAAAGGAGCCCTCTGTGAAGGCCACAAGCTCATTGATAGAAGTGTCAGAACAGGAGAGCGTCAGCAGTGGCTGGACGTCACAGAAAAAGTGGTGGATGCTGTTGGGTCCACAGAAGGAGAGTCGGCTCATAAGGATGGTGTGGGTGAGCGAATGGAGGTGGGACACCACCCAGGATGCAGTCACCAGCAGGAGACAGCGCCTGGGGCTCATGGTTGTGGTGTAATGCAGTGGGTCGCAGATGGCCATGTAGCGGTCAATGGCCATGGCGGCCAGGAGGAAACTGTCAGTAATACCAAAAGCCACAAAGAAGTACATCTGTGTGAGGCACTGGGCAAAGAGGATGGCCTTGTTCTGTGTGAGCAAGTTCACTAACATCTGGGGCACAATGACCGTGGTAAAGCAGATATCCACCAGGGACAAGCTGGAGAGGAAGAAGTACATAGGAGTGTGCAGGTGAACCTCTCTCCAGATGGCTGCAATGATGACCGAGTTGCCAACCACGTTGACCAGGTACATGGCAAGAAAGCCGGCAAAAAGCCATATCTGCTGTTTGGGGTCTGTGGTCAGTCCTAGAAGGAGAAATTCAGTCACATGGCTCTGGTTTTCCCTCAGCATTGTTGTCCTACAAGTAAAAAATATGCAGTAATGTTAGGTGTGTGTTTGTGTGTGCCCTAGCTTGGGTTATTCAGTTTGATGGATGAAATACCTCATATGGTATTTCAGGTTGTGTATGTGTGCACATACATGCATGTGCCAGTCCTGGGGCTTGAACTCAGGGCCTGGGTACTGTCCCATAACATTTTGCTCAAGGCAGGCCCTCTACCACTTCCACCACAACTCCACATCCAGTTTTTTGGTGGTTAATTGGAGAGAAGAGTCACCTACAATCACCCTACAATAACCTACAATCACAGCTGCTACCTAGTACAGCTGTGCTGACTCTGTATTTCCTTTTATAATGTGAAGTCATGGGAAATGATATTTGTGAATCCTATGTTGTTGTGGCAGAAGTGATCTTAGTTCTCCAAAAATTATCCCATGAGAATCTTGGGATCTATTCAGGAAGGGTCAAGGGACTGAGGAGAATGTTAAATGGCAGGGCTCTAGGTATTTTCTTTAATTGGGGGAAATTCTGTTGAGGTGTTTTACACATTGGATAACTGCCTAAGAAGTAGTATGAACAATGTGGTTGAAAACAGAAGTACAGATAGGCATAACCTTAACTGAAAGCGTTTGGAAGGTAGAGGATCATTAAAGAGAGAGAGAGAAAGAGGGAGAGAGAGAGAGAGAAAGAGAGAGACACAGTCTGAGAGAGAGACAGAGAGAGACAGAGAGAGACAGGGTAATGGGTGTAAATAGGGTCAAAGTACATACTACACATGTGTAGAAATGCAGTAATGGAATTTATAATTTTGTACAAGAAGAAGTAAGAAACTGGATAAAAGAAGACCCTACAAAGATTGGTGGCAATAAAGTTCAAATTAGTCTGCAATTTGATCTCTTAAGATTCAAGGTCTCAAGCTGGGTGCTGGTGGCTCACACCCATACTCCTAGCTGCTCAGGAGGCTAAGATCTAAAGATTGAGGTTTGAAGTCAACCTGGGTAGGAAAGACTATTGAGATTTTTATCTCCAGTTAATCACCAAAAGTCGGAAGTAGAACTGTGGCTTGAGTGGCAGAGTGTTGGCCTTGGGTACAATGAACTCAGGGACAGCACCTAGACCTTGGGTTCAAGCCCCAGGACTCATGTGCGTGCTCGTGTGAGCACACACACACACACAAACACACACACACACACACACACACACAAAGATTCAAGGACCTAATTTCTACCAGATTGGTAATCTTATCTTTGGGATTCTTATGGGATTAGGAAAACAATTTCATTATATGAAATATAATATGTTAACAATAATAGAGAACAATTAATGGAACAATTGGATCTCAAAAGGTGGATTTAGCCAATGCCATGAACTAGGTCATCAGTGGTAAAAGTATGACGGCCTGCCCAGTCTTCCCAGAATGTTCTCTCCCCTTGCCACTATCATGTGTGGGCTAATGGTCTGCGCAGCTCTGAAGATGTACAGAGGTTGGGAAGATACCACACAGTCTGGAGTTTTTCTCAGCAGTCTCAGCTTTGGGGACAGTAGAAGCTGGGCATTGCCTGTCAGCATCAGGGTAGCTGCAATTTTTCCTCTCAAAGTACAGAACCCCTTTTCTTGGGCAGGGGTCTTACTCACCAGTAACAAATCCTTCCTGTGTCAGAGAAAGGAAAGAATAAACCAGGGAATGCAGAGAGTCACCTAGCTTGACCCAAGTTTTGGAAGCAGTCAGATGATCTAGTTCACATTCTCAGCTAAACTGAGCCTCAGATGCTATACTTGGATAAAGAGAATGTCACACAAAATAAAAACTTTCTATTTGTGACATGCCAGGATTTGAGGACTTGGGAATACTGATGGGACTGAAGACAGCAGCTACTTACTCAGAAAAGGGTTGATGACCTCCAAGGGACCCAGCTGAGGGTGCAGTCACCTCCTCGGCATCACTGGCTTTGTTACTTAGCAGGGGAAGGAGATAGCTGGCACCGACAGAGGTCTCATAGCAGTCAAGGGAGAAAGGGGCCCAGGCTCAGGGTGGGAAGTGGGGGCATTCACTACACTTGGGAGTTGTGTGACCTTAGGATAGTAATCTTTCCATTGTGGCCCCAGGCATGAAGACCATGGGGTTTCCCCCATCTCCAGCTGTCATCACTGGCCTCTTCAGCTTTTACCAGTGGTAATGAAGGGGTGGGGATCTAGAAGATGATTGCCTTTCACACGACCTTACCCGAAGGAGAGTCTTTCTATCCACCTCCCTCCCCCAGGGAGCTCATTAAGAAGGGAGGCCTGGGAGAAGAAGAGAGACTGTGGAACACCAGGATTCATAAGTTCCATCAACTCTCCGAGGGATTGAAGTATGTAACTGAGGAAGCTCAGGCATGGGGCTGTCTGTGGGATGTTGGGAGAGGATGTGTGGTGTGGTACAAAGGTTCTGGGGAATGAAGATCCCTGAGGTCTAGTTGGACAATGAGCAGCTCTCATTTGGGGCAAATTCAGTGCCTTTCTAAAATTTCAGGTGTCTCATCTGTAGCATGGATTTCATAGATGGTATGTTCTTTTACTGCTGTAGTAAAATACTTGAGATCAACAACTTCAGGGAAGAGAGATTCATTTGTTCACTGTTTCTGAAATTTCAGTCCTTGGCTGTTGGTTCTAGACTCAACATGAAGCAGAGCATCATGGTGGCAGGATCAGGTAGACAGAGGCTGCTCAGCTCATGACAGACAGGAGCAGAGAGTGAGAAAAGGACAAGGGACCAGGTATAACCTCCATAAGTGTGCCCCCAGAGACCTATTTTCTTCCAGATAGGCCCCACCTCCTATATTTCCACCTCCCCACCTAAAAAATCAGAGGATTAAACATTTAATACATGGGCAATTCTTATTCAAACCATGAGTGAGGAGATGACCAAAGTACACTACATGATGTATGGAGATGTCACAATGTCACCTAGTATGTTCAAAAAAAGTTAACAAGTTAAACTAGAGTTGGGCATCTTTGGTTTGATTTCCTGTTCTTCTATTTATTACCTTAGGAAAGGACACTCAGTTTCTGCAACTGGAAAATGATGATATAATAACAACCTCACAGTATGCCCACAGCATGTGGACATTTAATTTGATATCTTAAGAATGTCTTAGTGAAACATAATCATCATCGTCAATATCAATAACAACAAAGCAATGCAGAAAAGAATTGTGAAAAATCGCATTCATCTGTGTGTATCAGTATAAATATCTTTTTTTTTGGCCATACAAGAGCTTCACCTCAGGGTCTTGTACTTCTAGGCTGGCAGTCAACCACTTGAGCCATGCCTCCAGCTTTACTTTGTGCTGGTTATTTTGGACATGAAGTCTGGTGGACTGTTCTGCCCTGGCTAGCCTTAAATTCCTATCTTCCAGATCTCAGCCTCCTGAGTAGCTAGGATTATGGATGTGCCAATAGTATCTGGTTAAAAATATCTTAGTAAGGTAAATTGTAATGAGTAGGATTTTACAAAAATACTCTGATAGGCTTTTTTTTTTGCTCACATCCATCATTCCACTACTTGAGCCACATTTCCATATCTGGATTTTTGCTAGTTAATTGGAGATAAAATCTCTCAGATTTTTGTCCGTTCAGGCTGGCTTAAAATAGTTCTCAGATCTCAGCCCTCTGAGTAGCTAGGATAATCTATGTGAGCCATGGTGCCTGGCTGGGCACTGTGTTTAAGTTTCTTTTGCATATTCTTTCTTCATCAGACTCTTCAATGCCATAAATCTGAAATCTTTCCCTAGCTCTCCGCAGCTGCCACGCTATCAGTTACTATGGGCAGATCCATATAGAATCCTCCTCTGAAAACTAATAGAAATGTGTGACTCTCTGGCAAAATGTCCATTGTCAACATTATTAAAGTGTTATTTACATAAACCACGAATTCCACTACTGGGTAACCAAACCTTTGAAGACGGTCAAACCATTTTCTTTTTTTGGGGGGTCCAGTTGTGGGGCCTGAACTCTGGGCCTGGGCGCTGTCCCTCAGCTCTTCAGCTCAAGGCTAGCGCTCTACCACTTGAGC